AAAAAAAAAAAAAAAAAAAATTTGAGGCCCTAGTAAATGCAATTTGTTGTGCTATTATGTACCTTACAATAGCAGCTACTTAGTTCTTGAATTCTTGTTGGCAGGTTTTACATGAATGTTGGCATGCATTATTAGCTCTAATACCCACATGAGGAAAGCGAGGCTTAGAAAGGTCCAGATACATTTACCATGGGCCTATAGCCAGTAGGTGGCATTTGGATCTGAGATTTGAACTTGATGCTGTGCTGGCCTTCAGGAGGCCTCGGGTGTGGTATGGTCAAGAGGGAGAATGGTTGCATGCTGGGAACATGGGAGGGAGCCACTTGCTGCAGGGAAGGGAGGGAGGGTTGCCACATGACTTGGCCAGGGATGTGCATCACAGGGAAGATGTATCTTGGAGAATGAATGAGGGTTTATCAGTCAGAGAAGAGAATTTCAGGCATTTTGGGAGTTGCTTGGAGTGGAGGTGGAGAGGGCCACTGTTTTGCTCTCTTGTAACTTTTGAGTTCTGGGGTGTTGTCATTTCAGAGTCACACACCCTTCAGACCACAGTGGTCTGTGAGTTGCTGGTGAACCAGAGCACCAGGGGACACTGGCAATACAACTATGATGGTCAGAACTTCCTTCTCAGCACACTTGAGTCTTTCAACTCCAGCAAAAGCCAGCCAGAAACAAGCAGAGCTGCAGAAGGGGAGAAGAGAAAGGAGCAATCCTTCCTCACCCAGAGCTGTCTCTACCCTCTCCGGAAATACCTGGAAGCTGGCGTGGGGCAACGGCCCACCATAGGTGTGATCAGTTTAGACTGATCAGTGTGGGTAAGGTGGAGCAGCTGAGGGCACTGCAAGGAAGGATGGGAGTGCAGGCCCCGCAGCAGCCTCCAAAACTCCATTTCATCACTTCTGCCCTGTGTGAACACAGTCCTGTCACTGACCACCCTCAGGTGATGCACTCAGGGTGGGGCATCACCATGGAATACAATGGGATGGTACCTGAGTGGTGGCCAGAGGATGCACAGTAGTTTGGCAAGACCCAAGGCAGCAATTTTGGGTTGGTCTAGGAGGTCTCCTTTGTTACTACTCCTTTCTGTCCCACTATTCCTCTCCATGAGTGGGATTATCTACAACCCCACCATCCCTCCCAAGAGTGAGCCCATCCCAACATCCACATCTAAATCTAGTTGAGGTTGGGCTGCCCCTGCCTTGACCCCTAGGTCCTTGGGGCCTTAAGCCATCTGTCCACAGGGGCAGCATTGCTTACAGCCAGCAGTCCACCAAGATCCCTTCGACATGAGCAGAGGCTCTCTTGTCTGGTGGAACACCAGGTCCATGCTAGGTCTCTGCATGGCCTCAGATGAGCAGCCAGGGGAGCCTCTGCTCCTATTTGGTGGGGAGTCCAGCTGGTCTGACAGTGGCCTACATGCTGTCTTGCCTTTCAGAGCCTCCCCGAGCTAAGCAACTCCCAGTGTGGATCTTGTGCGGGCTCCTGGCTTCCACAGTGGTCATTGTGGGAGCTGCAGGTGCCTTTCTTTGGAAGAAGTGGAAAAAGAACAGAATGGCAGGTATGCTTAGGCTAGGAGGAGCTGGAAGCCACCTTAAGCATCATTGGAATGCCTCTTTCTGGGAGCCTGGGGCTGGAGAGGAGATTTCGGGAGGAGAAATTTAGGGAATATGAAAACAAAGAGGAGTAGATCAGGGGTCCATTTCCTCTCTAGCCTTTGACCTAGGTTTTCTCCTTCCAACTACTCCCCCCACCACCATCCCCTCATCCCTTCTGCTCCTTGCCTTTTCTTGAGACAGAGTCTCATTTTGTTGCCCTCGGTAGAGTGCCATGGCATCATTAGCTCACAGCAACCTCAAACTCTAGGGCTCAAGAGACTCTCTTGCCTCAGTCTTCCAAGTATTGGGACTACTGGTGTCCACGACACACAGCTAGTTTTTTTATTTTTCATAGAGACAGATAGGGTCTTGCTCTTGCTCAAGCTGGGTCTTGAGCTCTTAAACTCAAGCAATCCACCCACTTTGGCCTCCCAGAGTGCTAGGATTATAGGTGTGAGCCACCATGCCTGGCCTCCTTGCTCTATCCATGAGAACTTTACCTTTTTTTTTCTTTTTGAGACAGAGCCTCAAGCTGAGCCCCTGGGTAGAGTGCCGTGGCATTACAGCTCACAGCAACCTCCAACTCCTGGGCTCAAGCGAGTCTCCTGCCTCAGCCTC